TGACAAGGAAGATTGCTTTTTAAACCCGCGTTAGAGATTTCCTGGTAAAATTGGTGCTAAAGATTGGAAAATTGGAAATGAAACGCGCGAATATTAGCCCTGATCTTTATGTATTATGCTCTTAAAGGTGAAAAGATTTTTTTTTCATTTCGAGTCTATTCTTCAACACGCCTAATATACGAGTTTTGCGTATCGTATCCGTAAGGGTGCAAGTTATAAATTTTATAATAGGTGAAATAACGAGGTAGAACTGAATGGAATCTTTTCAAGAAAATAAAGTATATACGTATGTAGTGTGTTAAATAATTTTAATATAATACAGCGAACTATTACCTACTTCATAATATTTTAAATCTCAAAGTATTTCTAGCTTCTTTGTATACATTAAAATCACTTTAAGGCGAATAATTGAGGTGTAAATATTAAATATTCACTTGTGTAACTATTATAAAGAAGTTACACGTGAAGTTACAATATAACATTAAAGGTGGTTTTATAAGGTGGACGAATTCAAGCGAATGAGAATGAACGGTCACAGAAACTAAACCTTTTGATCTTATTTCTGTTGCGGAACTTCTCAAAGGAAGCATTGGATTGTTACACATTTCCTTATCGGGTTAAACTATATTTGGTTTCGATGGGAAAAACTGCAATTCTAGGAAGAGGGAACGAACATAAAAGAAATCATATGCTTATTTTAAACGAATTAGGAGTTTCTGTTTAGGGCCCTTGGAAATATATTTTTGACTTGAACAGCTCCTCTGTTCAATATGTGATGTATATAATTTATTTGTCAAATTTTGTGATTCAAGAATGTTAGTAAAACAGCAGAAATCAATTGAAGATATTTGTAATCCTTTCTATAATAATTTCTATTATTCCTATTATTAAGCAGGTCATTTTTAAAATAGTAATTTCTTCTAGATTTCGTGTTGATATTAAATCCTCGTGTGAAGTATGTCACTAATATTGAGTATCATTCAATCGAAGCTTTTCTATTTTTTACGAACAAATGGAGGTTTTCTAATGGTTGAGCAGACAGTCTACGCCAGAATGTTGAGATCTATTTCTATTTTTATCGTCATGCATTTATTTTGGCATTATGACAACAAGACTTATTAAGAAATTAAGATTATTTCACGGTAAAAGACAAGCACCTGTTGTGCACATGTATATTTTTAATTAAATATCGTTTTTTAAAGATTTTCTAATTAAAATTTCGGATTAAAGTGCATCCGATTCAATGCAATTACTAAACATAATCCACCACGATAATACATCCGGTATTGTAATTTTTACTTTTATGAACACTTTATTAACAGAGACTTATTTTGAAATATCAGAATAACCTGAAAAATATTGTTATACCTAATTGAATAAATAAATTCAAACGTAATGTTTCCATTCAAAAGTGCAGCCTACAACGTTATCATTTTCGTATAACGACTTTTTAATGAATGTTGGTAATTAATAATAAACTGTATATCTCCTGCTTGCACGAAAGCTTCTGTTTCAGAACATTACCTCTAATAACATATTCTGCAAAAACAGTGGCATAAGTCATATTTCCAGATTACACTTCGATCAACGAACTGACTACAAACGTTTTTTAACTCGATGCTTCCGAGCGATACTAATTCCTAAATTATATATATTTTGTAACCCTCGAGAGTTCATTTTCCACTTCGAATCGCCTGAAATACTATTTCCAACTACTACTCGTATAATAATTCAATGGAAAAAAACTTTCTTTGCGACGGGACTATCAGTGCTACCGCAAACAATGTAATGATCCATTAAAGTTTCAAAGAAATAAAAAGGATTACGAGTTTTCGTTGTGATCCTATCGGGAAATTAACTTCTGTCAGTTTGTTATAAATCAAAGTTTCTAATTACTAATTGCTAATGAGGGAGCATTCAAAAATTACGCGTACAAATAGGCAGTTTCAATCTGGCGATATTAGAGAAACTGCGACGATCTCCAGAGGCGTTAAAGTGACCATTGTTAGGGCGTCATGTCTTCTCCTAATCGGGTCCCATAATGATTGCTCGGGACTTATCCGATTATGGTAATATTACTCTCTGCTGCCGTCAGATAGCACTTCCTTCGCCATCGTTGTTTACTCGGGGGGCTTTGTTCTTGCGTGAATATACATGAGCCTTACATATGGAGTAGGCTGTTATTGCTGCTCGCGATCTTCGGCTGTCTTCCACCAGGTTGCCACGTGCACCAAACTTTACTCAACACTAATACAATTTCCGTAATACAGTATTATGATTTCTACAAACTAAAGTGGCTTTTAGTAAAAAACACAAAGCTTCCAACGTTTTTTTGTAGATTTTAAATAAAATAGAATAATAAAAATGTGCTGTGAGTTATTTCAAATATGATATTGTCCTCTAAAGTGAAGTAAAATATTCGTTTCGCTGGGAATATTTGGATAACAATGGATGCAAGCATGTGGACTGGCGGAACTGGCAACGGCGTGGAGAATCTCCTCCGCTCCCTGTCATTCCTGCGACCTTTCGAACTTTGATATTGTTACCGAAGTTTTGTATAATGTGCGCTTTACATAGTACTTAGGAGCCGACTTTTATTTATCTGTCTTCTCGAGAACAAATTTGTCTGAAATGGATTTAGTAAAACGTATTCTCTACACCGGTCTTTTGTTCAGTATTGCCACTTCTCCACGGATATTTTTTTAGAAACTTTCTTTTTTAACACTTTCAATATAGATACAATTATTTAGACACAATAATTGAAATCGAGGAAAAAGTCGTCTAAAGTCAAACTCCAGAATAATTTCAGTTGAGAAAGTTTTTTTGTCGGCGAGTGTATAATAATGTTTATTTCATTTTTGATGTCGCTCTTTTCGCCCTTTATTCGGGGGCTAAAAAAGTTTCGCTCCAAAAACTTGATAACATGACATTGAGCCATTTCAACGAATCAATGCGCACGTCAATTTACAAAAGTTTTATCTAGATTTATGCAGACAACGCGATACACTCGTACATGTTAAACCAACAGAAATGCATACCTACAGCGCGTATGTTATACGTTAAATTAAAGTTAATAACGACGACGGTTTTCGATTTATCCCCGTGATTTGGAAGTAATATAGAAGCTAAAACCGCAAACAAACAATCGGGAATATTGCGTACGTTCCTCGCAAATATCTCTGATCGATCAAATGACTCCAGCCATATACATTCCCAGAGAACTTAAGGAGCAGAACTTTCCATATTACACATAAATTCAACGCAATACCCAGTTTATATTGATGTATTCTCAATATAACCAAAATTTGTATACCAACCAAGTTGTTTTTAAATACAAATCTCTAATTATTTCAAGTTGAATATGAAGGTAATACTTTCTAATTAAATTGAAAACGAACCAAGATTCATGCCCCTTTTACAGTTCTCATTATATCGATAACGATAGGTTTTCGAACACTTTCTTTTGATCCTTCAATTTGTTTTAACTTTTCCTCATCTTGGGCGATGCCTCGTAAAGGGAGTGCCAGAACTATTTCCTAGTTAATGCCCGACGAAACCAATCTGGCCTTATCTAATGAATGAACTCAACTCTCGAGAGTTGGCCGTACGAGGCTTTTTGAAATTGGTGTTCTCCATCAAAGTCTGGTCTATTGTGGGCTCGCCATTTATTTCAACTTTGTTCGATGTTGTAACGACTTTATTCCAACGGCGATTTAACGGACTGTCGGCCGAGTAATCGCACTTGAAAGGTTTATGGGGCGTTGTATTTTTGTAATGTATGAAATGTACCCGATGCTCGGTTTAGAATTTTACGCACCTTAAATATTTTAAATAAATTCAAATATTTAAATATTCTAAATTTAACATACTCCAATATTTCTAAAACTAATACATAGCAAGTAACGAAATAAAAATTATTTTTAAAATTAAACATATCTATAAAGGTAAATATACTTTATAAGAGATATTGTTCATCTCAATGCAAGCTTCTCCAACGGAATTTTATCAATAAAACCTCATTTAAAGGAGTTCATTTATTTGATGTAGTATGCAACAGAGAAATTGCAATCGAGAATAACTAATGATCGCTATTAATGGAACACGTGTATTAAGTCGATCGTGACGTTTTAATGAATGCGTTTTATATCATGAAAGATATGTAATGTAAGCCGTATGAAAATAAATTTTGAAAATTTACGTAATACTCGCAGATTCCGGAGATCATTAAATTTGTTCGATTGCCGGAATGGAGTTCTTTAGCAGTTTTCGGGTATATCCGTACAATGCAATTACGTTTGGATTGTTTCTATGTAGTTAATCCTCACATACGCAAGTATAGTAAATTGTGAACTGGGAGAGAAAGGAAAATTTTTTTGGAAACCATCGTCATTAAATTAATGAAATGTCCTCTCATTGAAAGTTAGCCGAAGTGAGAAAGTTTCAGAAGCAACTTCTGAAGAACTTGTCACTCTATATAAGTCCGAATCTATTAGAAAGTCCGTACGTCAAAAGGATTGATGGAGTACTATCACCAAACTTATCAGATCAAACTAAATTGACGCCGAACAGTTCGTGTTCATTAAGCTTCATCTAAATAAAACTAACTATAATAGATTGATACGAAAACTAAATAGCTTAAAATATTTTAACCCAACAGTAAGAGATTAATTACAAATACATTCCAAGAGAAGTATATAATAGGAAATTCTGATTGAATACGAACTCATTCTGTTCGAAATTAATTTGATTAGGTACTTTCAAAAAGTCGAACCAACTTCCCGCGAGGGACGGTCAATTCCGATACTACTTCTCTGAGGCACTGATGGCTCATACGTCAAAAGGATTGATGAGGAGGTGTTAGAAGGGAGTTTATGGAGTAGGCAAACTAACTGAAAAACTCATATGTTAAACGTACAGTGGCGGATATATGAAAGTCTATTCGTCGCTGAATTATGACGGTATTTCGGTTAGTTTGCCTGGAAAAATTGTATTTCACTTACCTTGATCTCCTTGTCGCCGGATCTTTCATCACCATTACTTCCGTTATATCACCAAATTTACTAAAATATTCTCGTAAACTTTCTGCAACAGAAGAAAATTTAAATTAGTCGTAAGGCAATTACCAACAAATATTTTAGCAAATAATAAACATGCAATCTGAGGAAATACATTCATTTCGCAGTAATATAACTAATAGCTTTCCTGTAGATTGTTGGACTATTCAATCCGATTTTACAATTTTTAATCAGTTAATTTAAATGCGATGAAAAGGCCCTGCCTATATTGAAACGTGTCTGACTTATGTTTTGATTTTTATCCAAAATAATCGTTGCATTACGTTTCAACATTAGTAATGGCAATTTTCTAATGGATTCCACAGGCGTCGTGTTATTTCTTTGATGTTATTAAACGAAAAACATGCACGTATTTCCCGTAAAAAAATACGGACTAAACGTATGCATTCACAATCAATGAGATAAAACGCCGGAAATGCTAAGAAATTTTTATTTATCATAATGAATTATACCTATTTTTTGTAGTTCAAATTACGTATTAAATAGAAAATAAAAAGTAAAAAATAGTAATTGTGTACCTATACTATATATTTTTGAGTTTATCACTTTATTTTTAAGCATCATTTAGTAGGGAAATGACTATAAGTGAATCAAATGTAAATGCAAATTTACGAAGGGAAATTAAGATTAAAGCCATAATTAGTCCATGATAGAAAAATGATGTAAAACGAAACCCGACTACGGTATAATGCTATTTAATGTATGTATCAGCGGTTTTATTAGGATTGTGTTGCGTGTTTGGCGTGGGCCGTATATCGATTAGCCCGCCTAAGGTTATAAAATTTACATCAAGGCTGCACATCACAGGTCTATGTGGTCATAAATGTACCTTCTATTTACATTTATTTTCAAATAATATTTATACCTAATTAAGTAATTGCAAATGTGCGAGAGTAGAAAATACTATTAATCGATTTGAGTATTAAATATTGCGATTTAATTTCTCCTCACTGCTCTTTTAGTGCTAATTGAAACCGTATGTCTCTACACGTTCTATTTGAAATTGATATCAGGAAGCTATATGTCAATTGTGGTATATCGATCAATTACAGTATGTCATCAAGTATCATTAAGTCTAACTGGTAGGTATAGAATAAATTTACAATTTCATCGTTTGATCTAACACGACAATATTATCTAAACAAATGTTCATTGTTCGACGATTGTTCCAAGCAAACAATTTTATTTTATCTTCAGTTTGGTGTTATACCCCGTCTCTCTTCTTTTTTAATTTTTTTCTATCTATCTTCCTCAATTCTTGCTAGATTTCTAAATCAGTTAACGAATTCATTCCTCATAGGGCTCGTGATTAATTTACAGAATAGATAATTAATCCCAAACAATTCCCTGGAGATAAAACTACAATGTATCTATCACTAATCAATATAGAGAAAAATACCCTTCATATCCATCCCTTGAAAATCATTAACATCTATATGACTGACATTTGTAAAGCTTCGTTGGTTGCAAATTGCCAAGTACCAATTACATGCTATACAATTTCAGAAAGCTTAATAAAATCATTACCTGTTTACAACATTAATTCAATCGTGATATTACCTGTTTCCATGATACTTTCAACTAAATTGTAACGAGGGAATTTACCACATAAATATGAAACAATCATGCTGTTAACAATGACTTTATTAATTAATCTTGCATAATATTTGTTGTGGCAAGTGACACGCTATTTTCTGTTATAACCGGAAATGTTGAGTAAACACTTCAATTGTAGTAACGAAAAAGGATAAAATGGAATGGATAAAATGTACCTAAGTTTGCAGAAACAATGGCGAATGGCGGAAATGTATTAACTAGTTTCACGGAATTTGAAGCTTAGTAAATGCTCTATAATTATTTTGAGCAGTACCTATAGGTGGCGTAAATGCAAAATTTATGGGAAAACATATTTTCGCGAGCACGTAAATATTTAAAGAACTGTCGATAAAAGTGAATATTGTAAAATGGTTTCCCGTATTTTATCTCGTTAATATTAAAGACTCTCTAAGTGTTACTGAAAGCCCTTCGATAACGGATTTCTGAACTGAAGCTCATAAATATGGAAAAATGTATTATGTCAAAAAACGAAAGTTTCTTGACACTTTATATTCAACCCAACATATAAAAGAAGATAAGCATTAAATATTATTTAAAATAAATAGCTTCACCTCAATTCTGCGCATTCACTATACTCACAATACGGATTAATGCAGCATGCAGAATATAGAAATATGTATTACATCGTCATCGATAATTGTTCCATCTGCTATCTGAAAGTAACTCGCCGTAATTTAATTTAAAAAACTTCTCGGTCCCGAAAGTAATGTAGTAATCTTTCCGTAAAATTTTAGAACTTTCAATAAGATACCGAAGTCGACATAATAGGAAATATTTTTCAACTTTTCTGTCAATGCCGCACGTTATACTAAGCTTCCTGCGGGCGCCAGATGTGGATCTTTAGGTAAAAAACTAATTTCGAGTTCAAGTTACTTCCGAGCCGCGTGGAAGGTATTTAATTGATAATTTTACGAGACTACGAGGTGCAAAGAGGGGTCTCCGGGCAATAAAGCTTTACTTAGTTTTACTGAAATTTAATTTATGCACCTACACGTACGTTTTATCATTGCAACAGATATAATAGCAGTAAAGTAATTAACACATTATCTACTTATAGGTAGGTGGGTATTTTTTTTAAATTAAAGACGTAAAAAGGTTTCCCTGTATGTGCGAGATAATTGCCTTAAGCTATAAATTTGCGGTGTTGGTTACTCTGGGTTATCTACTTAAAATGCACTTGTTGGCATTTAAAACGAAAGTGCGAAAGAAAACAAAAAGAAATCCAATTACGCAAACCTCTTAACCTTTATTTAAATTAATTAATCACTGTGTTTTCCGGCTGTCGGAAACCTATACACGCACCCAAAAATTAGCTGGAAGTCTTTTTTTGTATGGCGCTGCAATATATCAGACCATTCTTATCAGGACTAACGGATACAATGGGAAGGGTGTTGTGGCCTCCATTGTTTGAGCCCTCCTTAATGAAAATCCTATTTTTAGACCCTTTGACTTTACTGTCTAGTGTTCGTTTGAACCTATTATAAATTGAATAGATGGATCCTCTCCAGTATTTTTGTTTCGTTCTCGGTTTTTTTGCGGTTTATTAAATTTCATAAACAGTTATTTTCCATTGCGACCAAACAATTCTCGGTAAATTATTGCAAATCGCAATCGAATCGATGAAAAGCTAAATTTAGCTCATTGCATTACCATAAAATTTGCCAATAATTTCGGCCAATAACCAATAATCTTCAAATAGGGCGAAAATCGCTCTTTATAATCATACATAGGTAATTCTACAAGTTGTTTAAATGTTTTTACGCTGAAGTAACGAGACGAGTAGGAACTGAATATTAAAAAGTTTAAAATGAAAGAAAAGCAGAAACATCGAAACTCATCTTCAACTGGAATTTATTAATTATTGAACATGCGAAGCAGCAACGTGGTCCCATTTATATTTTAACGGAGTTCTCGCTCCGATCTTGCTAGTTTGTACTCTAATAGGATGCAATTGTTTCTTATTGATTTCGCTTATAAATTATTGAAGCAAATTCTCCCTTTTCGTACGTTTCGTTTCCCAGAACGGCACAGGTGCGAGTCCTTCTTTCCAGCTTTCCACTTCGCCTTAACATGATTCAACTTAGTTTATAATTGATTCTGAAATTAAAGTTACGGAACTTTTTAAATCCAATTGAAAGGCGATGCATATAAAAGTTAATTTAAATTTTGCCGTGTAGCCTCGGAAGTTTAGTGAAACTATTGCATTTCTTTATGTAAGTAGGTACTTACCGGAATAACCCGGTTTCGGTTAAATGACGATTTTATTTAACCGCTTTGTAAAACTTGAAAAGTGTAGTCGCAAAGCCGAACGACTATTCTTTGATTTCTTTTCGATTCCTTTTTAATCTCCCGATTTATATATCCCTTCTTACTAATTCTATCTTTTTCTCTTAACAAAGCAATTCGAAGTTAAAAATCTACATGACAGTAACTGCGTCTTCTCATCGAAAGTTTGCGAGTTCCGAAGGACTTTTTAAAGTCTCCACGCTAAACTCAACTTTAAGTGGCAATCGGTTAGGAAGTTTCTGTTCTCGTACGCCGTTTCGGAAAAAGGTTATTTACTTGTTTTACTAGAAAAAGTTTTCTCTTATACAAACATTAAATTGCATTCAGTACTCGCCGAAAACTTACCAATTTAAAGAATGTATCAAAAAATTTCGAGTATACGCGATCATCGCATTCTCCATCGGGAAAATCAATTTTAAACGCGCCCAGCCGTTATAGAAATATACAGGGATTGCATGTGTGACAAACTTTCAACCGCACTCCCAACCACAGCTCCTTGCATTTGTCTTAATGTTGCAGTTCGATCCGTTTGTTCCGTTGGCTTCGGGCGCGTTTCCCGCATACCAGACGAAAGGTATAAGTTTGAGTGCGATGTTGTAGAGATTTGAAACGTACTCGGCGCAAACTGGGCGGCGACAGGTGTTAAAATTGACGCCAAACGGTAATTATAAGCCGCGCCAATTTGATTGAATTCCCGATCTTAGCAGCGCCGACAGAGCTTTAATTAGTAATTTTTAAATTACGGTGCCACCTAGTAATATACGTATGCTATTATAAGGATTTAGACACTTGAAGAAAAGTGTAATAATTAGTAGTTATTTAATAGGATGCTTCTATGTATCTACTAGGTGAATTTACGAGCGACCTCGTGTGAGCAGAACAAGCAAAATACACCATTCCTAGTGCGAAAATGCAATGCCGGAATCGGAGTAAAGCAGTGTAGAACAATGTTGAACTATAATGGCTATTGTTATGATGAAGTAGCAGTCACAAACTTTGCAAATTTCCTGAGAAAACACTTACAATATATTATTTTTATTACGGGGTATCTTTTGATTCCGAGTATGCCATTCGCGTCTCTCAAGTGTTTTAAATCTTAAAAAA